GCTGCAAATAATTCAAAACTTAAACGGAGATGAATAGTACTCCATGGTATACATATACCACATTTTATTAATCCACTCATGTATTGATGGACACTTGGGTTGTTTCCACAGCTTTGCAATTGTGAATTGTGCTGCTATAAACATTCGAGTGCGATTGGGGGTTACACCAGCAAAAGGAGAGAAGAAAGGCCCTAAGATATATTAGCATAAATAACAGCTCTGAAGACTTAGATTCAATAAATGTTTATTGAAAACACACATACACACAAAAAAACTTAAACAGAAAGAGGTTAAATACCTTATCACAAAGTAGGGTGGTCCTATGGTACATTAATTCAGGGAGGCTTGGTCACTTCATCCTTGGGGTGAATTGGTTTTGTCCTCATGTCCCGGGCATTGTTCCCAGGTGTGACAACATCCACAGAAAGAAAAGGAGATGGTTTGTCCCATCTGTCTCTTTTGATTGGCAAGGAAAACCTTTTAATGAAGATCCTCAACAAAATTCATCTCATGTGTCCTTGGCCAGAAATGTTAAGTGACCACCTAAACCAAGGCAATGGGACCATGATGGTTAGTTTACATGTTTTATGCATGTCACATGAGAAGAGGGTTGGGGACTCATAGAAGAACAGGAGACATGACTGTGGGTAGGCACTCAACTCTATCTGTCATAATTGATAAAGCTAGAAAATGACTGCCCTTCCCTGAGATTGCCAAATTCTTAGTCTTGTGTCAATCTAAGCTTCCCACAATGGGGTACTCTTGTTGAGTTCCCTCTGGCCTTCCTGGTGCTCACCTGCATCCACCCACTTTGGGGTACTCTACTCCCTGCTCTTCTGTCAAGGCCTGGCTTGGTTTTTCTGCAATCAGCACTTCCCACTGGACATCATAAAAGATTTTTCCAGAAAATAGCTTATTGCCTTGGGCATTCTGACACTATTTATTTTGCTTCCTTCCTGGAGGGCCTCTCACTCTGTGTCTCTACAATTAGGTAAAAGCCCACTTCTAGCCTCCGCTGGAGGCTGCATCAGTGGAGCCAGTCTACAGACTCTTCCATAAGGCCCCTCCCTGAAGCCTGACCTGTGCATTTCTTGTTTACTCTTTACAATAGCTTTGCAGACATGAAGCGCCTCGCTTTGTCTCTCGTGTAATAGATGCTGAACAATGTTTGTTCTTTTTGTTTCCTTATAAGTGTCCAAGCATCGATGAGCCTATTTTATTAATACAAATAAAATGCAGTAAATAATTAACAATTTTCCTAGCAAACTAAAAGCGTCAACCAAGTTTACAGAGGATGGTTTTTACAAGATTGCAAAGTAGAGTGCAATGCCTGAAAGCAGTAAGTCAGTATCCACTGATCTAAGCACACTTGCCTTATTTTCTTCCTTCAGTTCATGAAATATGAGCTTCCCTGAATGTCTAAGGCCCAGACCTTTGATGCAGGTCAATGTGAAGGAAAAGATGAGTGTGACGGGGATATTTTTAAGATAAAAAAGGAAAATCTTGGGGCTAGCACGAATAAAAACTGTGCTGACATCTCAAAGAATAAAATTAAGCTCACCTCTGGCCTCCACCAGCTTTCTCCACAAGCTAATGAGGTGATGATTAAGAGCAAGAAGGAAAGAGCATCAAAATGTCCTTGTTTCTTCCAGATGAAAAGCTGGGCAGGAGTGTGTGTTCGTTAACCAAATGAATTGCAATTTAAAGTGAACAAATTCAGACTTCACAAGCATAGAGTTTGATTGGACTCATATCATTACCTTTACTAATGAAATGTTTCCCCTTGTTGCCTTCGTACAGAAAATTAACCCTAAATAATATTAAAGCTCTTAATTCAATATAGATTCTACTAATTGATTTTTTTAGAATATTACAGGGGTACACACATTTTGGTTATGCAGGGAAAATAAGATTGTTTTAAATTATTTAGCAAAAGTTGTTATTGACTCTTTTGAGTGTTTCAATTCAGAGAGTGTCTGTTTGATTCTAACCATAAACGATAAAGTTTTTGAAGCATAGATGAATATTTATATGTTGTTGTTTCAAATGGGTACCCCAGTTGATGGTTTATAAATTCTGATGTGCTGGATCATTGGCAAGTCTCCTCTGTAGTATTGATCAATAACCTGGACACAGGGTAACATTGTAATACTGTAACAAAACAAAATATGAATTAATCCACAGAGATTGTATTTTAACCACCTTCCTAATAATAATAGGTTTTATTCTTTTTCATGAAAAGGACTAAGGTTAGATGTTAAAATACTGAATAAAAGAACATATTTATAGGCATAGTTGAACAAACCATCTTAGGAAAGAAGGAATCTAGGTGAGCCCTGCTTTAAGAGAAAGAATATAAATATATGTTGTGTATCAATAAATATTATCATTATAAAAAAAAGAGGTTGTTTTTACTATGGTCGTGTAAAAATGTATGACATTGAAACAATTATTTTGCTTGCAGTTTTGTGGTTTGGGGATTGGGGAAAAGGTTACCTGGGCAGTTTGTCTCTAATCCATATGGCATTTGCTGAGGTGGCTTGAGTTGGAGAATCCACTTCAAAGGTAGTTACTTGATTTGCACATTCTGGAATGGGGATGCCAGTTGGGATGGTTGGAACAGCTGGGAGCTGATCATGTGCTATTCAGGCAGCTCTCTTTCTGTGTGGCCTCCATGTGTGGTAGCTTGAGCTTCCTTATGGCATGGTGGTCTCAGAGTAGTCTGACTCTGTACATTGTGTCTGGCTTCTCCCAGAGCAAGTTTTTGTAGTCTTAAGAGGTAGAAGCTGCCTGATTCTCAAGGCCCAATCCTAGAAATTGGCAAAATTTCTGCTGTGTTCTATTAGTTAACACATTCTTGGACCTGAATAGATTCAAAGGGAAGGGAATTAAACTCTACTTCTTCATGTATGGTTATTTTTATTCTAGCACAGGAGTAAATAAACATATTATAAAAAGATTACTTTTGTAAAAAAATAATTCATGACAATATTTTCATATTCTGAAGACATTTAGAATGTAATGTCATTTAAAAGTGATTATTCACACTTACTAGAAACATCTATCTTACTAGAAACATCTTTAATGCACAAAGGAAAGTGCAAATGCACAAGTCCCTGTTTTAGTCAGTAGCTGAAGCTTACGTAATTAAAACTAGCATTCCCACTTTGCAGAGCTGTTTAAAACCTGGCAATAACTGAGTATTTGCTATTGCCAATCTGACTTCAACATCTAAAGGTCTTCCAAACATCTTCGCTGCCAAGAAATGACTGCCTCAGAATGAGATCCTGAATATCAAAAGGTTTACTTTAAGATTTAATTTACCCAGGCCAATGTTGGGAATCCGAAAGGGACTGTTGTTTGTCACATTAATTATGTGCTTGTCAGGTGAATCGAAGTGGGAAGAAATTCTGTACTTGAGAATTTCCAAGACAACCTAAAGCTGTTGTTTCTCATACTGATGTTACTGTTTCTTTGCAGAGGGGTCAGCCCCCTGCAAATCTTTGAACGTTCAGTTCTTCTCAGGCTTTCAGCAGCTACATTTCTATGCCGGGTGGCAGACCCCGGGGCTGGAGAGTACAGATGGACAGTCGGCTCTGCCAAGGCAGATGGTCAACCGCAGAGGCCCAGATCTATCTGTATCGATATGTTTCCGAAGGGCCAGTTTTTATATCTCAGTCCACACTGTCTGGAGCTCGCAGGACTCGGTGTGCTCATAATGGCTCCCTCTGCCTAAGCATCCTAGCAGCACAGCAACTAACCAAACAGAAACAGACAGAGGAGCAAGTAGAGTGCATCTAGACCTGCAGGAGGGTAGTGAGAATCCATAACCAGACAGAGGCTCATCCTCGAGTGTCTACTGAGGCCAGTGGTGTTTCAATATCATTATGAATTCTGGCCTGAGTTATAAAATAAACTCCTCATCCTTTCATACCATCCACCAAAGAGATCTTATGCTGTTTTCACAGTTTTATGTGGACCCCTTTAGAAAGGTTGGCCTTTAAATTGGTCCAGTTAAGCATCTCTCTTCCTCCCTTTCAGATACAGTATTCAAAATCCTCTCATATGCCTGTTTGCACAGTCTCCTTGGAATTATCAGAAGACAGTATTTAGTTACCCAAATAAAGAGACCATTGAATCTGGGAAAAGCCAAGTCACTTGTCCAAGGTCCTGCCATTCGTTGTAAGGAATAAGTTCCGGCAGGGAGCTCTTCTGATTTCCAGCGCAACTCTCCCTTTCTATTTATTTAGACCATGTCACACTACTGGCAGTCCGCAGCTGCTAGTCACTCTGAAATGTGAATAGTGACTTGAACCATAAAGCCTGGGTCCTAAAATCACGTGATCTTAAGTAATTGGGGAGAATTTTGACATGTAAATTTGTAGTTCATCAAATCAGCTTGTATTTGGAAAGAGTTAGGACATGAAGGGGAGAGAAAAGGAATTCACTAAAATGGAAAACCACTTCTCCCATGGAAATGAAAGGAAGGCATGAGAGAGAAGTGATGATAAAGTTATCAAGAATCTCTCAAAGGCTCAACTTGATAATATTTGTAATGGATGAAGCCATTGGCTTTGAGAATGTAAAGAATTATTTTATGTTACTAGGGAATACCTGTTATGTTATATTCATAAACAGAAGCACCTAGCAATATACTATTTTGTGTGTCCCAGGCACCAATGAGAGCATTATAAGTGAGAGCATTATAAATATTGTTGTATCATGCACTCAAACATGTAGGGATTATTATTAAATGAATCGTTTCATTTAACCTTCACAAAGACCTTGTGAAGTCGGTACTTGTATTACCCCCATTTCCGAAAACACAATTCGACTTAGAGAGGTCGAATGATGTGCCCACATCACATAGTGATTAAGTGACAGAGACACAAACCTAAGCCTGTCACCACTCCTCAAAATTGCCCTTAATTACCACAGCCAATAAGCTTAGAAAAGGTAAAAATCTCTAGGTTCATATTCCAATCCTGCCATTCACTAATTGGAATCTTGTGCATCTTACAAAAACATTCTGAGCCTGCTTTCACCACTAGAAAATAAAAGTAATTATTATCTATGTCATTGAGTTTCTGTGAAGATTAAATTAAATAATATTTAAATCTCAATAGAGTGTCCAACGCATAGTAGGTACTAAATAAACATTAAACTACTAAAAAAAAATTTCAAAGTCTGAATGTCTTTTCGTAGCATTCTACTCCTGAAACATTGTGACTAGATATTTAGCAGTTAAAACAAACATTTGTTTCATTCAAACAAATAAGTTAATAAACAATAAGTAGTTATTAAAAAAATAGTCCTCAGAAATGTTTTTAACAAAATAATTTATTCAGGCAACTCTCAAAACCTAGGAACTGATTATATATGGTTTATGGATTTTCTGAATAAGTCTTGTGTTCATGCTTACACACAGGCAAGAGAAAGAGAAGGGAACAAAAAGGAAATGCAACGAGAAGATACTCAATGCTTCATCCCCAGATTTGCATAGCTTTGTCCCCATGGTTAAGATGAAAACTCAGTCCATCCAACTCTGAAATTCGTGTTCCTTTTCCTATATCCTGCTATTTCCTGTAGTAAGAGATTGACTAAGAAAATCTTGCATTTAGATGGATTTTATGTCTTCATATTCCCTCTAATTATAACTGATAAGCAGGAATCTTTCACATATTAAACTAACACCCAAAACAGCAATAGTTTTGAAATTATTTTAAAATATTGATAAAGGCATTAATTAGTCTTATAAAATGCAAATTCCAAAGGCTACTCTTCTCGTAAATCTTGCATTAAAATAGTTAAACATGGCAATAGTGGTGACCTAGGTTTTAGATCTGGCTCTGCAAAGCAGCTAATTCTATCACCTTTACCCTGTCTAGGAAGGAGGCATTGGAAACAAGTAAATCTTAAAGTCTCTTCCTCTCTAAGTATAAAATAAACAGAATTAAAACCCTACCTCCTTCTACTTTTTCTAGTTAACTCAGGAGTCAGGAAGTGCTACACATTCTCATTATCCAAAAATATTGCCAGTGTTTTTCCATTAAAATCCAGGTGAAACAAAAATGACGTTCAACAATTTATGGGAGTTAGCGTTATATTATCTGGTGATTATGTTATTCCTTCCCCTTTTTTTAATAAGTAGCATGTGCACAGTAATTTTCCTTGTCATGATTCTATGCCTTCTTCATAGTGCATTTTGCCAAAGAAACATTGGACATAAATGAACATTCTCAGGTATCCTAGCAACAGGATGTGATTAATAATACCTCTCAGAGCAGGGCAGATAAAATGCCTGAAAGTGAACGCAAACTCAGAATTGGCTACTGAGAAATTGGTAGTGCAGTGGGGCAAGCTTGTTAAGATTCCATGACGGATTTTATTATACAAAGACGGAAGCAGGTAGAAGAGAGAATACATTTTAGATGGGAGACTATATCTAAGCATGAAAATACAGTATACATATGTGTGTATATGTACACACACACATATATATAATTTCCTTTTTCTTGGAATCAACATAAATACTGAGTTATATAATAACACAAATGCCCCCACTGATTATTTCTGAGACATCATCAAATTGCCATTTATGTGCCTGTGGTTTTAAAAGATTAGAAACAATCTGTGTGATTAGGAGATGACTTCCATACTGAAGTACTGAAGTGACTATAAATTGATATATATTTAATGTTTCTCCATGGAACAATATCAATAACCTAAAGCCTAAAATAGCTTCTAAAAATATCAAGAACCAGTTTACACAAATAATGCTCATGAGATGTGGAATTTTAGTGTTCAATTAAATACATTTTTTTCATATAAGAAAAGAAGTTTTATCCTGCAAATTCAATTTTTATGAGATTATGCTCCACTTTTATTCTTCCCAGGTGGAGCGCTGCATCCTGGTTTAAACAGGAATAAGATGCAAACCATACTTTAATGTTTTGTTTTTAAACTAGAATCTGTGATAAAATAAAGCATAAGTAGGGCAGAATGTGTTCATTATTCTGAAAGCCTTTCTTTTATTTTATCACCCACTTTTCTAATATAATAGTTTTCTAGGTTGTCAGTTGTAATATACGTATCTGCTAAAAGCTCTATTCTTGGTTGCACTTTCACTGAATTTTAGCAGACCTAAAATTTACTTCATGTCTCTAGTATGTTTTCTCTCTTTCTTTTTTTTTTTTTAAGACAGAGTCTTACTCTGTTTCTTGGCTAGAGTGCAGAGGCATCATCACAGCTCACTGCAACCTCAAACTCCTGGGGCTCAAGGGATCTTCTTGCCTCAGCTTCCTGAGTAGCAGGAACTATAGGTGTGGACCACTTTGCCTGGCTAATTTTTTTATGTTTTGTAGAGACAGGGTCTCACTTTGCTGAGGCTGGTCTCAAACTCCTGGCCTTAAGTGATCCTCCCTCCTCAGCCTCCCAAAGTGCTAGGATTATAAGTTTGAGCCACCACACCTGGCCATGTTCTCTAGCATTTTAGGATAAATTGGAGCATTTGTATTCAAGGCACAGTTCTAGGCATTAGGAGACAGAAAGACATAGGACTCGCCACTTCTTATTCTTAAGGAGGCCACAATTCTGTTAGGAAAACAAACCCACAACCAATTATGAACCAAGCACAGGAGTTGGGGCTATGGTGAAGACATAAACAAAGGGCTACAGGAGCACAGAAGAAGGGCACTTAATTCTGCAGGGCAGGGGGAGTTTGGGGAGCTGGCCCAAAGGAAAGGATTCACAGAGGTCTGGCATCCAGCTGAGCTCTAGAAGTTGAACAGGGTTTTGACAGATAGAAATCATATGGCAGGACATTCTAGGAAGCAGAATGCACATGAATGGGGAGTTGGGGTGGGAGGTGTAATTCCAGTATTCTCTGCAGTGCTTGGGGCATGACAGCAGACAGTAGGTTGTGGCCAAATCATTCAGGGTCATAAATTTTGTATTAAGGAATGTGGATTTTAGTATTGAAGAGACATTCAATTGCAAGGATGGAAAAATCAATGAAACCAGTTAGGGTTCTATAGAAAATAGATAACCCAGAAACAGATATCGAGTTCATGAACAAGGGTGATGACAATGAGAAAGGAGAAGATAGATCTGAAAGGCCTTATAGAGGGAGAATGTAACAGACCAAGGGACAGATTAGATGTGGAGGCTGCATGGAAGAAAGAAGCCAGTGTTTCATGTTTGGGTTTCATGTTTCATGTTTAAGTTTCATGTTTGGGTGCCTAAGTAGACAGCACCAAGATGAGCAGCTTTATAGGGAAATATCATGATTTAGGTTAAGGACACAAGTTGAAGTGCAGTAGACAATACACGTAGAGATTTTCAGTAGGTTTAAAACCTAGGTAGATTTTGAAGCTAGAGATGCAGTCTCAGAATTATCTCTTTCTATGAAGGTGAACATTAAGAGAATTGGAGAGAAGATTCTTCAAACAGAGCAAGATAAAGAGACTAAAAAAGAAACTCAGCTGGTGTTTTCCATTTAAGCAGTGCTATCTCTATGCCTCTTGATCAATATAATATTGTCTTGTTTATATAATTTTAATTTTTAATTTGAAGCTTAGTGTATATATGAGTATATAAATCTGAGTAGATTCCTATAAAAGAACTAACTTATAATAAAACTTATAAATGACATTTATATAGCACTCTATAGTTTACAAAGCCCTTTCCTATAACACAGGGGCTGAGAATTCTTTGAGGTCTTGGTAGAAAAACATTATCAGCCATACCTTCCAGCATCCTTTCTGAAAACTGGACCTCAATATTTCATGTGACTTTCATCCATTTCTTCTTGGCCCACCGTATAGAATTATTTACTCCTTACAGCATTCCAGGGAAGCAGGTTCTGATCCTCACTTTACAGATGATGAACTCAGGGAGACTCATTGATTTGCCTGCAATTAGCATTACTGTAGGCATATTATATTGAGTAAGTAATAAATTATCACAGACTTTTGTAATATGTATAACAGTTTTCCCCGAATCTAGCAGCTTAATAACAACAATAAACTTTTATCATTTCATACTGTTTCTGTGGGGGACTCTGGAGTGGCCAATTGGATGGTTCTGGGTCTGGGTCTTCTGTGAAGTTAAGGTTGGGATGTTGGCCAGAGCTACAGTCATCCGAAGGCTTGACTGGGGCTAATGAATGGGTTGCTCCTATGCCTGGCAAGGTGACACTGGCTCTTGGCAAGAGGCCTTTGTTCCTCACTGGCTATTGACAGGAGCCTAATTTCCATGCTATATGGGCCTTTTCATATAGGGCTGCTTGAGTGCGCTGATATTATATTATCTAGCTTTCCCCAGAAGGAGTGATCCAAACGAAAGCAGGATGGAAGCTGCAACTTTTTTAAAGCCCAACCTCAGGAGTCAGACTCCATCATTTTTGTAAAATCCTACTGGTTACTCAGGTCACTCTAATTCAGTGGGGAGGGGACTGTGCAAAGACAGGACTATCAGGGGAAAGGAAGAGGAGGATCATTGGGAATACCTTGCTTACCACACCATATTATTAATATTCAGTTCAAATTCACTCACTTTCAACTTTTAGGATTTATGACTCATTCTAATACAAATCAAAGACTCTCCAAAGAGAATTTTTTCTTTAAACATTTTATAACTCAAACCTGGAATGCCATTTTTTTTAAATCATAAACATGTTTGAGGCCTCTAGTATTTATAAGTATAAAATAGTAAACAGTGGCTTACCCAGTAGAAAACCTAAATGAGGAAGTGCTCTATCATACTTGGTAATGAATGAGGCCTTTAAATGGACTATTCATGTCATTTATCTGTTTGAATCATTGAACTAAATTGCATCAAACAAATCCCCTGGAAATCACCCAAATGATTATAGAATGTGCCATTAATCAAGTGCCAGTTAAATGACTTTTACATGTTTGGCCACTTCATGAGAAAAGAGTGTACATTTTCCACCTTATATTTTAGGATTTTGAAAGACACAAAGGGCTGGTAGAAAAACTTGGGTAAAGTTGACATATAGCTTCCGTGTGTTGCCTAACTTCTTAGTAGGTACTCCAGACGCAGAACATTGAGAGACAAGAAAGTGAGGGCTGGAAGGATGGTCCTCACTAACTCATCCCAAACCAAGGCTGTCAGCTCCACAGTGGTGCTTACACGCCCTCTGGCTTAGGTGCACAGTTCTTGCCTACGTCCGTAAGTGTGCTCACCTGTCCACAGCTCAGCAGAAGCCTTGAGTCTGCCTCTGCTTAAGTGTTGCCCTGTCTCACTCATTTGGAGGCTGCCAGATTTGATGAATGAGTAGCCATGTCCTCGACCTCATCATCCTCATCACCCGCTCGCTTTCCAGGCTTTCGCAGTCTCTCGTGTCCCCTGTCACTCTCCACTAAAACTACGCTCTCACATTCTAGCAACAATCACACGAACTCAGTAGCAGCACAATGTGCTGTTGAACCCTCCCCCATGCTTCTAAAACTATATTGGTAGTATACGACTCCACATTCTGTTGATCTCCCTGGATCTCAGCTGCTTCTGCCTTCTCGTGGGCCAACATCACAAAACAACAGCCGTGGTTTGGTTTTCTTGGTTATCGTCCTCAGCCCACTGCCCTGTGCCGTCTGCCTGTAGGCTCCATTCACGCCCTCAGCTTCTGCCATCTTCTCAAGAGGGGCATTTCTTGCATCTGGAATTTCAACTGTGGCCTCTTGCAGGCTCCAAGTGCTGAGAGCACTTGAGATTCAGTAAGACTATCACTGAACTCATCATTCCTGGCCCCGTCACATGTTACTGTTTCCCCGAATTGCACCATTCTGCCCGCATTCACCTAGGTAGCCATTCATCTTGACCTCTCCTCCTCCCTTGCAGATCCCATTTTGTAACTCCTGGGCCCTATTATTTCTGCCTTCCCACTGTCTCTTGCATCCACTGCTTCCCTCCTCCCCATCCTCATGGTCACAACCCCGTCCATCCTTTCTTTACCTTGTGCCTAATAGCTAGGACAATCCTCTTCCTACGCACTGCCGTTGCTGTTCAACTTCCTCAAGCAAGCACTAAACGTGACTCTTCTTCCTCAAACACCCTGTCCACTTAGCCCATCCTGGTTCCTTTGCCATGAGATAATCTTTTCCATATTGCAAATTTCTTAAATCTCATTTGTATCTCAAGGTCCAAATCAAATACCACTTTCTCCATAACTTCATGAGCACTCCCTCCTTTCTTAAAATAACTGCTTCATCCTCATATCTTTCAACATCATGCACCTTTTGAGGCACTTCTCATTTTCATATTATATTGTCTTTCCTTTCTGTCTTCTCAAGTAGGTTGTAAGAGGACGTGGTATTATTTTATTTAGCTGTTTTCCCCATAGTGCTATATATGGGGCTTTGCACTTTGTAGATTGATTGTTAAG